ATATAAAAAATATTTCATAGTGATAAATGCTGGAACATTGTCTACATTCAGGTATATTTTAGCAAAGTAATACACCATAATGAACGAAAATTTAAATTTTTTCGACAATTTTTATAGATTTTTGAAGTTTGTCATGATTGGCATTTTTACTATGACTTCTACGCCATACAACGAATTTGTAATGTTAACTAATATACTGGGAAATGGAAAAGTAACAGAATTTAAATATGAGGTATCCAAAAAGGGTTGTGATAAGTAATATTATAATCTTTTTAGTGGTGAGGTCGTGTTTTTATAATAGATTTCTCGAGCAATAACGCTTAAAATCATAATTACCTCTTAATATCAGTAAAGTTTTATTAAGAAACAAACTGTCTTACTATTCAAGTATTTAAGTACCAACAATGCCTTAAAATCGCCCATATTTTTGGAAATTTTATTTCACACTAGCTGTACCTTGCGCGCATTGCTGCGTCACCAACTAAATAATTTGTAGGATTAGATAAATATTCAATTAATTTTTTGTAATTTTATTGATTTTGTTCATTTCGAAACACAAAATTGCACTGAATAAGTTCTAGTGGAAGTTGAGTGAAAAAGAAGAAAGCAAACAGGCTATTAAAATATTACCACATTGCAAAACAAAAAAAAAAAAAAAACACAGTCAATAATACGATAATTTCATAGCCACGAATTTTCGCTCGTCGCAACTACAGTCTATTCATACATTCAACAATATTTCGCTCGTGGCAGTTTTTATATAAGTTTTTGGATTGAGTCTCTTTTAGACCATTTGACCATAGCCATTGTCTGTTCAATGTGAGCCGGACATGAGTTTCACAATTTATATTGGAATGGCAGTAGCGCCATCTGTCAAAAATTGGTTGTACCAACTCGGTAACCTTCTTTGGCTCATGCGCAGCAATTGCAAATCCATAGTTTAGAACTCTATAAAATACATAGAGATAAGCATTTCTTTATATATATATATAGACACTCCACTGCAGATATTCAAGTATTTTGATTTGAATTAATATAAACTAAATATATCTCTCAATACCAGACTAAAATTTCTTTACTTTGTAGTCGTTGGTGACTCCAATTGCGTTGGCTTTGCCAACAAAAGTTTATTACAATAAATTAGAAATACAATTTTGTTTCAGCAGAAATAGTTACTTTTGCAAAATACAGCCTGTTGCTTTGCATTGCATTCAGAACACAAATGTAAATTGAAACCAAAACAACATAGAAGACTTTAAATATATTTAATTAATTTTCTCTTTCTATGCAAACTCAAATCAAATCGAATTTTACGATATTTAATATGCAAAATTTCGTTAGTCCGTAAACAGTTTTGACCATACAAATACACAACTATGTATATAATACAAGTATATTATGCACGTACTTGTATGTATTTGTATGCCTATGATAAGGAAATAATAAACAAAAGCAAATGCAAATACAAAATTTTTCAAAATAAACACGAAAGCTGAATATGAATATGAAAATTAACTATTGTGCCACTTTGTTCCAAGAAATTAAAATATTTCGAACTTTTATTTGAATAACTGGATTGCTGTGTATATCAGCTGGGTTCTGTGAATGTGTGCATGCGTATTCAATTCAAAACAGTAATGCAATTAGCAAATAGAATGCAAATGTGTATGTAAGTCGGGGAGAGCATTAAAGCGAGCATCTAAATCTTACGAATGAAAAGAAATATGTTAAAAAATCACTTTTTGCATTTGGATGTGGAAAGCAAAACTTTGACTTAGTGAACTCACGTAATTTGAAAGTAAACGTTATGAACACATCGATTGCTTTGAGTTTCGAATCATTTTGGTTATTAAAATACTTGAGTTCATCAATGTGCTAATTCTTAATATACAGAAGCAAATTAGTTTGCGAAAAAATAGCAACAAATATTTTCTAGTTTCGTTAAAGCTTTCGGTGGTGGGGGTGCTCAGGGTTAGATTTCGGATTAAATACTCACTTGTGATTATTATTCCATAATCCTTGATTAAAATTTAGAATACTCTCTTTTGACATGACATAATATGAAGAACTTTTAAGCAAAGTTTTATCAACTATAGCGTTGAATCCTTGGTTTAGGTATTAACTTGTAGTGTACTAAGTATAGGATTTGAAGAAACTTAATATTTTCTTGCATAAATTATTTATATAAGTTCAAAAGAAGCCAATTTCATTTCAATCGAATATAATACTTTATTAGAGCAGGCTTAAGACAGTATTTCCCAACATGTTTACCTAATAAGCCCACTCAACAACAACTACCATCATTACTAACTAAACTTTTTTACTGAAATTTTATGGTAGCAGATATAAAAAAAAGCCTGCTTTGAGTCGTTTAGTGGGGTCTTCGTTTGCATATTCTGACAAAACTTACCATAGTAATATATATATTTTTTATACCATCAGACTGTAGAGTTTTCAACAAAATACAAGCTTACCGACTTAAAAATAAAACAGACATTTTGACTTGAGTAGTTTCGAATGAAAATTAGGGTTCTTTTCCGATATTTAGGCAAAACAAAAGTGAAATTATAAAAATATTCTGAATCAAAAAAGTAACAGTATGTGTTTGGAATATAAAGATGTTAATCCTCTCTAAATTTCGAGAAAGAAAACAATGTTTTGTATAAAGAAAAAATTAAAAACTTAGTTATTTGAATTTTTCACATATATTTTGATATTGTTTTAAAAAGGTATAATAACAAAAGTTGCAGATCTGTTTATTACCTAAAACTTTACTATTGAACTTTTTCCCATAGAACTTTTAGTTTTGCCGACAACCGAGATAAACCATTTTTAACCCTTCAAAATTTAATCATCCCACCACCTTGCTTTTGCTGACCTCAGAACGGGATTTTTGATTTTTATTATATTTTCTTTCTTTATAAATGGGTCGCTTTAAAAATTATTGACCTTGGTCTATACAGGAGAATAGTTTTTTTCTCTCACAAAAAATTACGACATTAAAAATATAAACAACAAAAAATGTATCTCAATAAATTCATCAAATTGTTAACTTAAGCTCCAGAAATAAGCAACTGGATTTCATGACTAAGTTTACTTTTCACAGCAAAATAATACTGCTGATAACACATTTTCATACTCGTATTATACTTAGGAATTAATAAACATTAAATCACTTATAGCAGAGCAATTTTGATCACAATAAAAGTTAGGTGAGTTAGACCGATTCTCATTACTATTCCACTAACTCGATTGCCACCATAAGGTATTGCAACATTGAAGCTACAACGATTTATACCCACACATTCACATGCAAAATGTTACATACAGCAACTCTGCCATTATTGTGAGCACCCACTTTGTATTAAACTCAACAGAAAGAAGCAAACGAAAAGCAACAAATAGTAAAGCCAAACAAATACACATGCACAGTGAAACATCGACACACCTACACACATATGGTATACTAAGTGTAATAACAGTTCACCAATGCATATGCATTGAACATTTCTCATGTCATAACTCAACAACTCATTGTTTCCAACAAATTGCAATAAATAAAAATGTTGCACTGTGTTGTATTATGTTGTTTTTTTATTTTTTTATTTATGGCTTATATGGTACATAGTAAACGTTATAGCGCTGCGAGCCATTTTCATGCTACGATTTTACATGTTATTATTGCACTTGCTCTTGCTTTGACTGCTATTTGCCATATTTCCTTATGCTTCCTTTTTTCCACACTTTTCTGTTCATTTGCAAAACCCCTACACACATCACACACACACATACACATTTACTCGTACACACCCACAGTCTGATTGGAAATGTCACAGCTGCGGTCGCATATTTCCACACACATACATACATAAATACGCAGCTCCAATCAAATACACAAAGTGTGGTGACGGTGCGGTCGGGTGATTGGAATGTTTGGGGCGTTAAGCGCGGAAAACAATGTTTGTATGTGTTTATGTGTGTATATGTATAATGTGTGTGTATTCTTACCAATGTTGGCTCTGGAATTTTTATTTGCTCGTAACATATTGATAAGTTGCAAATAAATTTTCATTGTGCATTGGAGTAGCATACAAACGACAACAAAATACAAACGTTGGGAGCAAGCAATAATAAAAGAAGCAGTGAAAACCGAAATAAAATAAAAATGAAGAGGTATGAAAAATGTGTCACATTTTGCATTGTGCTGCCGAGCATAAAATGCATTGTCAATTTATACGTATATATGTATGCACATAAAACATACATTGTTTGTAGTTGTATGGGTATATACAAACAAGCTCATATTTAAGAATGTGGCGTTGAAAAATCAGTTACTAATGCTGGCGGCGGCATTCTTCCGCTCTACAATGGGGCTTTTTTTCATTCCAATAATGCATGTGAGTGTGTATATACTTGTACTGCTCGAAATGATTGATTTTTGTATACAACTGGCATACGAGACGTATTGAGTTTATTCATTGTATTTAAAAATTCCCGCATTAATTTACTAGCAATTGATAATCAGTACAATTACTTGAATCTTTAATGGCATTATGTACATCTACGTATTTATATATATATATATTTTAAGCAGTTTATAACATAATATTTTTAAATTCAAAACTTGTTCAAATTAAAATAAATAGCATTAAGATATTTTAAGTATAACGAAAGTTCCGCTAATTCCCATTTTAATATAAATTGTTTTTAAGTAAATTTGAAATAGTATATCTTATATTATATAATAATGAAAATAAGCATAATCTCTTAAGCAACCTTCTTTTTCATTTATATTGCTTTAAATCAATTCTCGTCACCATTGAGAGAGCTGATTTCCTGCAGACGTCATTAAGTAGTAAAAAAAATTAAAGAAAGAAAATTTATCAAAGTTAAGCATATATTTTGGAACATTCAATAATTTTCGTAATAAAATAATGCATATATGCATGTGTGAAAGTATATATATTAATAACAAATTGTATTTACTTTTAAATTTCCAGGCGACGGACGATGCCAGTGGATTTCCATCACAGACACCACCTCCTTATCCGCACGAAAGACGTAAGTAGCGCACTTTAAAAGAGGACTTTGAAATTTTTAAAGCTTTTATTATAGTAAAATATCTACATAAAATAAAAAAAATTATTTGACAAATAGTTTTAATAATAAATTAAGGTCAAACTGAATTCAAATTAGGCCACATTAATAGATAGTCGTTTAATTCAGTGAGCCACGTATATTTATATTATACAAACAAAAATATATTTATGACCGTAATCCGTAATAGAAATTATAAAGAATAACTTTTAGAAGTAAAGAAGGGCTAAGTTCGAGTGTAACCGATCATTTTATGCTCCTGCAAATTGCTTTAGGTATTGGAAAAATTTCATATCAAAAAATGTTGCGAAAGAATTCAAGATTCATTATTCGACGAAATCATGATTGAACTACGATCAAATATATTATTTTATAAAGTTATTTTATAGGTCGTAGATTCAATTAGTTTTAAAACTATATATTACTTTCCGTCCGCTAACATTATATTAAAATCATTCTCAAATGAGATGTACTTAACATAAACTTAACCGGAGCGGCTAAAGCATTCAATTCCATTCAATAAACCATTGACATAATAAGGTTTGTTAGAATAACGGAAATTATTTTATGTACTATAATAAAATTTCACATATTTTTGCCATTAAACTAAAGTATATCCAATATTATACGATCAGGTGATTAAGCTAAGATATCTTACATATTCACCGATATATACGGTATAATGCCAACCGGAAGTTCGAAATTTTTTATTAGGTATATGAGAGAGTAAGGTGTAGTTTTGAGGCAATTTCACCTAGTTTTAGCATTCTATATATTATTAACAGAAAAAGAGTGAAAAGTTTAATTAAGGTACCTTACATACCATCAACAATATGGTATATAAGGAATAAAGTCGATATTATATCGACAAACATGTATAGAAATAACTGAGTCTCGGTGGACTCAACAACTTGTTCAACAAGCGGACAAAGAAAGCATTAATAGAATATATACAGCACATTTATACTATTCAAATATAGAAGAAATGACATAAGAAGTCGAGTAAGAATACCAACAGGTCACAGTCTAATTGGCAGACATACCAGCAGACTGGAGATAGAATACAACGATTATTGTATGAGCTGCCAAGAGGTTGAAGAATAAGAGACTGTAGAACATCTTTAATGCGAATGAACGTCTTTGTATAAGAACAGAATAGCAACTATTAGTCACGAGTTTCTGGGCGATGTCTCGGAAGCTGCACACTTGAATTGATGCGATAAATCAAAAGTAAAGGGTGGTTCAGAAAGGACATAATAGAGTAAGAGGATTTTAGTTCCGGTGGTTTTATAATGGACCTCCTAAAGACTTAGATGCGTCCTCAGACCCCCCCACCCTTCCTACCTACCGTTCTACCTTTAACAGAGGTAAGATGTATTGTAGTTATATATTCACATTTTAGTACAAAAGCAAGGCTAGAATGATGATAAAGTGATAAGAAGAATAGATTGCTAATAGGATTAAAAATGTTTAAGGCATGGTTTTGCAAATTTGACATATTTTATACCTTGGTATTCGATTTCTACGATCATAAACGTTAAAACACAGTTACAGAAACTTAAATATTAATTTGGCAGCTTTTAATGGCTTTACTTTTATCAGAGAGTTTTTGAGTGTAATCAATTACAGTTTTTAGCGAAATAAATAGTAAAATAAAAAAGAGTTAAATCACAAAAATCAACTAACGCAGTTTTAACGTGTCAATACAAACACTCTGCCTGAGCATAAATTCAATAGTTTATCAAAATTTGCGCAGACACTTGAACGCTGCGATTTGAGTGCAACACTGAACTCTAGCGAACTGTTGACTCTTGAGAAGCGTTTTTCGCACAAACACATTGCATGTTTGCGCTTGCCTGCTATTTACAGCGTACTAAACAAATTAAATAGTGCAATCCAAAATATTGTAAAATCATTTCATGAAAATGAAGTAAACGCAAAAACATTCGCCACTAAAATGGATTTGCAAATAAGTACATATATTTTTGCACATAAATAAATTTTGCGAAAATGCAAACAATATCTGCAGCATACATACTGGCGCTTTTTCTCATTGCCACACATGCACATCGCTAATATTAATATGTACGACGCGGTATGCACAAGTAGATAAAAGTGAATGTGCGCTCTGAGCTTTATAGCACCCGAAGGATGGTTGTGGAAAAAATGCAAAATTTTTTAAACCAACCTGCATATTTATGTAAATTTCACACATATCTACATATCTGTATGCGCCAAGTGTATAGAATAGCAAATGAATTCGTGTATAAAGTGTAACAAGCCACACATGACATAAATTGCTTGTTATTGCGTTTTTCACAAATTTACATTTCAACGAGAGCTAATGCATGACACACAAGTTACATTGTATGTGCGCATACAAGTTAATATCTACCGCCAACAAATATGCATCAATGTGTGTGTAGTGCATTTGCATACACATAAATGCAGCGGGAAGCAATGAGAGGCAGTGGTAAAGAGTAACAAAATTTCGCTCCGTACAAATTTACATTTTTTATGCAAAATCGAGAAAAAAAGAAACAAGAGAGGAAATCAAGAAAAAAAAACGGTAATATATTTTCTATAGAGTAAAAACAGAAAATCTTATGCTGGCTGTTGTAAAATGTCGGATAATGCTCAATATACATTGTTATACGTTGAACCTGGTGTCTAAATTTTTTTATAATAATTTTTCCATGAATATTCTTAGGACTTTAATCAATTCAGTTTGGCTTTCCGCACGAATCGCAATTAAAATAGACTAAAATGGGCACACTTGTTTAATTTATGAATTATATGCAATAGGTTGCGTATACGCAGTGTAGCTCTAGTGATTCCCACAATGTATTATACATATTTTACATGTTTGCCTTCTTTATTGCAGCCTATCGCACACCAAAAGGTGAAAAAGGTGAACGTGGCCCAAAAGGACCACCCGGTGATAGTATACGTGGTCCACCGGGACCACCGGGGCCGCCAGGCCCTAAAGGTGAATCGGCAACTTTTCCGCCCTTCGTTGATTTTCCCACCGGCGCCGATGCGGTAAGTAGCCATTAGTGTGTAAATTTAAGTTAATTTTTATTCAGAAGAATATGGAAAGCGATTAGAATTTTTCTTAAAAGTATATAATATATAATACAATATATATGTATTAGCATGTAAGCATTAAGCAATTATTCGAAATCAATCGAATATTCAACACTGTTGTAGAAAACAAGTTTGCTGTATCTATTATCGCCGCTAAGTGGATGCTGGACTCGTTTCCCAGTGGAGGAAATGTCGAATAATAGCTTTTGTTAATGAGAATGGTCTGTCGGAAATAAATATACATTTTTACATGAAAGAATTTCTTTTATAATTTAGAAAATTTATTTTTTAATACTTTTATTTATTATATTTTAGGGCGCACACTTATTGAGAAATTTAAAAAATAATGATAGTGTATACCTTAAAAACATAATAAACTTCTAAATCGATATCTCAACTAATCTTTGAGTTTAATCCTTCTAAAGTGTAGACGCTCAGTTAAATCAGTTCATTCAACTATATCAATTTTTAAATTTTGCTTGTTCGATTACTCGGCGTTTGTCGCCGCTCACTATGAATTTTCCGCAGGATCTGTATATTGTTCTTCATACAATGACCTACCAGTTTTTTAATCCGATCAAAAACCGAATTTAAGCAAACAAGAAAAGTCCAAAATTTTGTTTAAATTCAAAATTTGTTTTTAAAACGCCGCAATTTTGTGAACTTTTGGTTTTTTCAACCACAGAGAGGGCCTTATTGCAGCAATGGAAGATCTTTATTGTTTAGTCTGTAACTTGAAAGTTATTTAATTTTCAAAAATCTCATCGAGTATTCGTAAAATATTTGTAAATATACCCTGGCATTCAAAAAAAAAATTGATACCATAAATGTTTGTTTAATTTCCAAAATTCGCTTTTTTGTAGGTCTTCACACTAAATGTGCCCTTTAAAGTTTTAGTTCACATTATTACTAAATTGTTCAGATAACTAAATTATAATCATTGACAAATCTCAAGTTGTTCTTCCAATTACCTAATTGGATTTTCCTTCGGTAATCAAATACCTTTCCGCACACCTCCTGTCATTAACCCACAAAGCAGTCGGCTGATCAATCACCAATAACAGTATAAATCCGTTATTATGCACTTAGATGACGTTTAAGCTGGTTACCTGCTACAACTGTGTAAGCTTATATACATATGTACATATGGGTGTCTGTGCTTATACTCATATTTTGTATGTGCTGACTCTATACACGTACATGCGCTTATCTGCCAACGATTTACTCTTTACCTACGTTAATAAACATTGATCACAAATTTCACATAAATTCCGCAATTATCAGCTGCTACAAGTAATTGTGCAATAATTAGTGCATAATAAACACAATTGCCAATGCACGAACAAAAGCTCCACCCGCTCAAGCACAAGCTACAGCCAGATTTTAGAGAACCACACGCACACATATACATATATACATAGTGCTCGTAAGCCAACTTTGCAACAACAGTGTTAAGCTATTAAGCGCCAGCGACAGCAATATTGAGCATATGTATGTATAAATGCAATGACTATGGTGAGTTGCCTATTATCAGCTGCCAATTGATTTGCTAATGCACATAAACATATATCACGGCACCACCTATACACGTGATCAATATGCATGTGAATGTGTTAGTGGCTGTGTAAATGATGCACTTATAAATGCAAACGAAGTAAACGCAAATTAACTGCAAATGCCACACTAAATCTAGTCTGCTTCGATGAACGGTCTAAGCTGTGTGCATGTGTGTGTGTGTGTTCGTGACTAAAATCCGCTGGCTTACCTATTTATTTACGATTGCAGCATTATGAATGTTAACATGCAGTTGTACATGTGTTTATGTGTGTGTGTGTGTGTGGCGGTGTGTAAATGGAAAAACCGATAATTGTCTACTTAGCGGTATTAACGCGATTGTTGAGCGGCTTTAATTTGTTGCATTGCTAACGGAAGCGCTGGCAAACAAACAACAAATGTACGGTTATCCCACGCAGACAGGTTATAGATATTATTAGCAGGTGTGCGCTGTGCACTCACATGGATTTATATTGTTTTGGTGTTAATAAGTGGTAAACCAAATGAGCAAAAACGGCTATTTGTTATTTGTTGGAACGAGAGTTTTGTGGAGAGACGACTAGACAACTGGCAAAAAAAAAAAAAACTGAAAATACGAAAAAAATGTAATTTCCCACAGGCATGAGTTAACTCGTGAAACATATTTTTATTTAGTTTTGCTTTGCTTCTTTCTTATGCATGGAGTGCTAAGTTAGAGAACTAGTCTTTGTGATACCGATACCTAGCGCTTTTGATAAAGAAAATCGCCATATTCGAGAAACAGAGAATCTAATCATGATCCATGAAATCCTATTGCATCGTTCGAAATTGGCTCCTTTTTTTCTTAGAGACCACATTTTTACAAATAAAATAAAATAGTCGAGAAGAATTGATAAAAATGGATGTTTGCTCCATATGTATATACACGTATGAGAAAATAAGGTCTCGAATGCTATTGATTTCAACAGAGCAGAGTAGAACAACTGCTGATGTAAATCTTCGGAATATTGATGAGCTCAACGGCAACAATCGAGCCAAAATCATCGTCTACTGTTAGTGTTGCTCCAGGAAGTTATGAGAAGTGGAGAGAGGTAGCTTGTTAATAAACAAAAACGTTAACATCGGTTGCCAAAGCTAGCATATATTTTACAAATAAGAAAGATTCAATACAAAAACTTGATTTTGAACGATTAATTTGTATGGCAGTATGTGGTATAGTGATTCGATCTGAACAATATCTTTAGAGATTTTAGCGTTGCCTTAGAAAATAATACATGCCAAATTTCGTGAAAATATCAACTCAAATAAAAAAGTTTTCCATACAAGGACTGGATTCTTTGTATGGCAGCTATGTGATATAGTCGTCTGATCTGAGCAATTTTTCCGAAAAATTTCGTGAAGATATCTTGACAAATAAAAAATTTTTCCTTACAAGGACTTGAGTTTGATCGATTAGTGTCTAAAGCAGATATATCCTATAGTGATCCGATATCGACGCATACAACAAATTAGCTCCTTTTTGAGAGAAAATGACATGTGCAAAATTTAAGATGGATATCTCATAAACTGAGGGACTAGTTCGCGTATATACGGACAGGAGGGTGTTACAGGCATAAAAGTCCAAACGTCGACATTAAATGTAGCAAACCCTGTGTGAAATATCATATCCGTATTCCTGTTTATATGTACTAGTTCCTTTAGATATGTGGTATTTTGAGCAGAATTTTCAATTAATGTTGTATACAATATATTTGGTTAGAAAATGGACAACCCAAGGCAAAATTTACCAGCCAATTCATAGCACAGAGGCATTCTAAAAGTACACACCTCGTCTATTTTGAAATAAACTTTTTAAAACTATATCCAATTAAATATTAAACACTAAAAATATTTCGAAACGGTATGTATGTATGCATAGAACAGTCATAAGTAATTATGTTGAATACAACAACAAAAGCTCATCATTATCACCCTTGGCCACAAGTGAAATCATAGCGCTGCAATTGAAGGCAAACAGGAAGTGCAAACGCGTATAAACTACGTAAATTCGAATGCCAATAGAACACGTTTACTGTACAAACAACAACAGCAAATATGGCTGTCCCAAAATGCCAGCGGTCATAAATGCAAGATGGAGGCAGCGTGTGACAAACGGCGCAAATCTGCCAGCACTAACACGTCGGCGTCTAGGGAAATCAGGTATTTATTTCCGTTGTCGCTTTGCACGCCTGAATCATCGTTGTTGCTGCTTTCACTATGTACACATTTACAGTCTGGAATTTGTAGCAATATTGACATATTGACTCGGCTAGAGGGTTGTTCATATATGGCCGATATATTAGTACCTATTTCATAGTTGAGAGTATATAAACTTGGTTATGAATTCGAATCGAAACAATTTAATAAATCTAAGAAGAATTTCTGATCATAAAGATTTTTAGTTTGAGATTTTTGAGTTTGAATAAATTTAAAAAAAAATAAAAATTTTAAATATTAAAATTACTAGTTTGAGATTTCGGACATTTTAAAATACTGAAAACCTAATATTATTTCTTTCCTTCGAAAATATTAAACTATTCCATATATAGGGTGTGCCATCGCTTCTGTCGGTATGTTGGTGAACCAGTTTAGTCTAATTCATTTTGAGAAATGTCGTGTCATCTCTTCAGTATGGTTTTGGTATAAGCAACGGTCTGAATGGTTGCATTTTGGACATGATTGGATATATATATATATATGATCACTTCGTTACAGTTGTACTGACTAGTGGTTTCTATACTATATACCTATTTCTAGTCGCTTCAATCAGTTAATAAGTTTTTAAATTAGCTACGTCTACTCTCTGATTACCGAATTTTTGCATCTGACAAGAAGCATAAACCAATCTGTAATTGCTCAGAAGTCTGAACAGAGTTTCAAAAATAGTTGAAAAGCATATTTGCTTTCAATCGCAATCCACCTTAATTTTGATCAGTTGACTTTTTGATTGCCATACTAATATTATGGTTCACACCAGCCGGTTTCGATGAGTAATATGTACAATCATGCAGTAAAAAAAATTATTTAACAATTTTGTTGATTTTTGCGAAAATTTTATTTCGAAATTTGTGTAAACATAAACAAGTAAATTTCATTATATATATGTAAGTCTGTAAAAATATAAGTCTATAAAAGATTACTAACAACCAAAAACTGTCAAAAATGCAATCGAATTCAAAATGACTTGAATTGAGTTTCAGCAAAAATATGTATATATATACCATAAATATTTAATAAATATTTATATACAAGTACCTAAACACATCGATTTTTGCTGATTCTCCAACACATTCGTACATTAGCAAAATAATATTGCAATGCAAAATATATTTGTAAACAAGTTTGATGCAATGGAAAGTGCGATTCATATATGAAATGAATTTTGCACGTATTTATTGGAAATATCTAGACTAATATATATTTCTAATTTATTGGCACAAAGTTCATATATTTAGAAACGAATATTTCCGAATGAATGACGCATGAAATGAATGAATTTCGCAAAGCCTGATGAGCGCTTTTGAGCTCAACGCAGAATTACATTGAAGTCTTTTGCGTGCGGCATGAGCTGTTGCAACGTGCTCAACTTTAGCGGCAAAATAGAATGCCACACACACAAGAGTCAGTAAATTTATTGGTGTAAATGCAACTATACATATATGTCTATACCACTGAATGCAATAACCTACGCACAGCGAAATATACATACCATTTCTTTTTCCATTATGCAACGGTGCCGAATATTGCTGATTGTTGTTATTGCTTTTGCAGAATTTTTGGCCGGCGCTTGGCATTAGATAGCTTATAGCCCTAGCCAGTGCGTGCTTGGCCATCACAAGCTTCCACATTAAACTCGCAGACGCATACATTTATGTATATATAGCTCGCACATTCTATAGCATTTGTATATGTGTATGCCCATATGTAATGCTCTTTTGCCGCACGCATTTTCGTATTGTGAGTTGTAAATGAGTATTCGCAATTTATGGAAAAGCTGTTTTAGTGCAGAACACACCACACTATGTGGAATTGAAGTGCTGGTTACCATTATTGTCATTGTTGTTGTTGTTGCTGTTGTTGTCGTGAGCCGCCATACGTTCTATAATTTTGAGGCAATTATGGAAATTGAAGCGTTTGCATACAATATGGCATCATTTAGAAGCGAATTGGCGCATAGGATGACAGCAGCGGCAAACGATGCAAGCGGCATGTGGCATGCTACAAATGAACGATGGCAGTGTTGGATGGTAGTTCATAGATAACGGTAACGTGGCAAACGGTATGAGAACAGCGGAAATGTGGCATCGTTTATTCCATTGAAGTTGCCTATAATTTATGTGCAAATGACAAATGCTGCGCCGTTGTATTGTACTTATATACAAACATATATATGTATAAGTGTATATACATAAATATTCCTACTTGTATATGTATTTAAGTGCTCTTGCGAAGTTGATAGTGAGTGTGTAATAGAACTTGTTCTATATACAATACAATATACGCATATAAAAAGCTAAAATAAACCCAGTATTTCTGCATTAAATTGAAGGATTTATGTCTCACATAATCCGATGTAGGTCAAATGTGTACCGCATTTCGGTAGCTGTTGCCATTTTAAAGGTAATTTAATAATACCACTCAGATAGAAACCCTCATTACTACATATTGGCAAAAATTGCGACAGTCGATTTTCACAAAGCAAAATCATTTGCCATAGTCAGGAATATGTAATAATCACTTGGTGTCAGGTCTGGACAATAAAGTGGATGCATAAGAACCAAGCACCCGTAACTCCTGGCGAGTCACTGTCGATGTATGTGACTTGGCTTGTCCAGATGGCCCAGTTCCTGACAATAAAGGTCCAAATAAAGAGTTTTCCTCATAGTAAATGATTCCCTGTAAATCTCATCAAACATATAGCAAAACCTTAATGGCAGCCAGTCAATCCTGACTTGGCTACCATTTGCTAAATTAATTACTAAGGCCATTTATTGCAAAAATAATGATATTCTTTTTACTTTTATTATAACGGGTGATCCAAGTAAAGCCTTTTTTGACAGATCACACATGAGTCGTATCATTTTGTTTAGTATTCTATTCTATTTGTTTCGCGCGCTTCGTTCAATTTATGGTCAACATAATCGGCCTACTGAGCGTACTATTCGCAACCCCATCCCCCATCTTGAGACCCAGCATTTATTATTCGATAACATTCGCTCGACCTTCCCAAGCGACATCGCTCTATGGGCTCTTGAATATTTCTAAGAAGATGCAACGTTTTCGAGTCAAATTCGGATCAGCGATGAGGCCCATTTCTTAATCAATCGATATGTAAACAAGCAAAATTGCCGCATTTGGGACGAAGAGCAGTGATTCAAGAGCTGGCGATTTATTCAGAAAAGACAGAGGTTTGGTGTGGTTTGTGGGTCCGTGGAATTATCGGTCCATACTTCTTTAAAAATTATGTCGTTAGAACGTTACCGTTAATGGTGACCGTTAGCGTGAAAACCAACTGTTTGATGCCTGAAATTGAAGCTCGTAATCTCGGCGACATTTGGTTCCAACAAGAGGGCGCCATTTCCCACACATCGTATCAATCAATGGATTTATCGAGAGAACACTTCAGTAAGCAGATAATTTCACGTTTTGGGTCGGTCGATTGGCCACCAACATCGTATGATGTCACACTGTTAGACTTCTTCCTTTGAAGACATGTAAAGTCTAAAATCTATGCGGACAATCGCGCTTCGATTCAGATGTGTCATTCGCCAGTTACCAGTCGAAATGCTCGAACGAGTCATCGAAAATTGGACTCAACGGATGGACCATCTAAGATGTAGCCGTGGCCAACATTTGAAATAGATAAACCTCTAGAAAGAAATGCCAAGGAATGTTCTTTCGAATGATAATAAACATTTTTCATTAAATTTGAATTTTTTTGTATTTTCTTTAAAAAAGTAGGGAGTTTCGAAATAGATCACGCTTTACATATGTTAGGTATGTCTTTAATAAAAGTTTGTTGCTAGATATACAAGTATACTCATAAATATATACATATCAAACATTTTTTTTTTAAACTGGTTTACTACAAGGAATGAAAATTCGCATTATTTATGAGAAAGCTTTCATTAGTACGTCTTCTGCTACTTTTAATATATTTTTCCATCACTTGAATAATGTTTGGTTTTTTTTTTGTTTTGGTCTTATCTTTCAAATGAGATCTTTAATAAACAACTACAGATTTCTATGTATAATCTTTGAATTTAAAAGCACTCAAAAAAAGTTTAACATCGCGAAACCAAAGTTCGGTGGCTAATAGTTGCACCAAAGGCAGTTGAGAACATCTTTGCCGCACTGAAATTTAAAAAAGAATGATAATAGCTTACGATACGTGGCAGTATGAGCAAACTTTCTTAAATAAACTAACATTTTCATCTTTTGGCGTTACATTCCTTGTCAGCTTTAGCCTGCTGCACATGTGACCTCCAGACATCTCGGTCATATGCGGTTTCTTTCCACTTTTGTATGACAAGCTTCTTCAATACTTCCCCTAGTTCGTCAATCCATCTTGATCACGGAGATCAAGGGGAAAACCCTTACTCTAGTGGTGAATGCTGTGGTCACTACAATTTTCTTCTGCGCTCTCTTCTTCTCCATTATCGAAACATGTTCGAGCCATCTTAGTCGCTGCGCGTTGATAAAAGTAATAACATTTGCAACTTATATAAGTTGATCTAGCTAATGGTTCCACTTTATGCGTCCACTCGTCATTGTCATTTATTGCTCCAAAGATTTTTTTTAGCATCTTTCTTACCAAGATTTTAGTTTTGTTCATTTCAAGTAGCCTCCATGATTCTGCTCCGTGGCACAATACAAGTCGAATGATGGTTTTGTATAGGTCCAGTTTACTTTTTTTATTTCTTCTTCTGTTGAAATGATGCAGAAACCCAAATATGTTTTCAATAATATTTTTCGACATTTTTCATAAATGTTATTGTACTTATTTAGAGATTTTCAAAAGATATTTTTTAGACTTTTTGTTTAATTTAAATTTTTAAATCCACTAGAATTAGAAATCTGACTCTCGGTATACTACCTACTCAAGTATGCGCCTCCCGTGAGAAGAGAAAATATTTAAAAATACGCTATATTGTTTCAATACTTCGTAGAACAGAACTTCGCACACCTAAATTTTCTCCTGAACTTTTTATTACTCAACATTTTTATTATTAATAGTAACCGTTGTTAATTTTTATTGCCACACTTCCGCGTCTTAACAATCGCTCATTTATTTATTTGCCTTGCTCACATGCTTACTAACAATTTATAAGCTGACTAACCGTTTGCTCATTTATTTCACTTTTTCTTTCGTTACAGAAATACACTGGCAAATGCACGTGCAACGCGTCTGATATCCTAGAAGCAATCAAAGATAATGAAATATTACGTGAAACAATACGCGGCCCACCCGGACTGCCGGGCAAGGAGGGAAAGACTGGTGCGCCTGGACTCACGGTAAGTGAATGCATAACTGAACACACACACACACACAGATGCAGCAGTGCATACAAACAAACACTAGCAAAGCATTTTCAATTCAGCTGCGCTCGCTGCGGAGCGCCCATGCGGTGAGCGGCAGCAGAATAACTCAATCAATTTCGCGATACGCCGTGTGCAATCGGAAATAAGTGTGAGCTCTCTATAAGCGCGTACACCTAAATAACTGTACATACTTATGTGCTAATGTATGTGCATATTTTTTCACTTAAATGCGCTCATAGGTTTTTTATTTACTTCTGCACAAAGTGGAAATGTGCAATAATGCGCCGCCACTTTCACTCACACATCTGTTTGTATCAACTAGCTATTTATATGTGTTAGTGCAGGCAGGTGTATGTGCTGTACATGTGCTTTTGTGTACAATAACGGTAGCGAACGGAAGGAAATTCATATGAATTTTCGAGAGTGCATTCGTACTCGCTTCGAGTACAGGAAGCCTTGCGCAAATAAATCATTAGCGGTTAATTGATTGGAATGGGAAATGATTGTTGAGTGGCCCCAGTTCGAGAGGAATTGGAGAACCGAAAATAAGTGGTTTGTGTTCACAATTTACAATATCGTATAAATAAACCGTAATGTTTTGTAATTGATTTTAAAAAGTTTTGCTGAAACGATAACGTCATTATGAAGTTGCAATTAACTGAGGAAAAGCAGCATTTCTGAGCAATTATTTGGAGAGTTCAAGGAATAATTTAGAGCTAATCGTGATCTGTATTGAAAAATGTAAAGAAAGTGGAGAAAAGGTGAACTTATGAAGTCAGTATTGTAATATGTGAATAGTCACCGTATGCGACATTTAGCAAAAAACAATATATTCTTCTCTTTTTTCGGAATTGTTATACTCTCATCAATTAACTGTATGAAAAACGGTTTATTTTATTTATTTCTAATTAATGCAACTACTTATAACAGACGATAGAATGGCAGAGAGAAAGAGATAATAAAAAAAATGCTAAATGAATTTGATTCCATATTTAATTGAAAAAAGGGAATATACTAGTATAACTATTTAATAAATTCCAAACATTTAATAAAATACAAACCCTTTTCGATTATAAAAAAAGTAAAAAAATATTCTCTCTTCTAATTTTATTGAAATGTTTGAAAGAAAAGAAAAAACAGCAAAAACATCTGAAGATACGGTCATCATTTGTTAAAGTATAAAGGTGCGCAGAAAGGTGTGCGAGAGATACAGACATACGGAATAATTAGTACCAAACCACATTATAGCTAAAAGCATACACACATCCGTTTGTGTTAAAATATTTCACAAGTTGACAGATGAAATGTGGTGTATTCATTGTTGAAAGGTAGCAAATAATTACACCGTCATGTCTACACTTATCTCATTAAAGTATTTTCAGATATTTGGAACTAAAATTATATGCTCAGGTAAAATAAATTTATTTTAATGATCCGTAGAATGGAAATTCTGTTTAATTTCGGAAACTTCTTTGATCCTTATTTAATTACTTAAAGATCGAGAGATAACTGCCTCACCGATCCGACACTTTACTGTTGAAAAATAGCTATTATGCAATTGAAGATTGTTCTACTGATATCTAATATTTCACCATCACTCCAAAAATATAATATTATGGCACCGCACCATTGACTTTAAGGTATATAGCAACTGTTTCTGCAGCCACTACAACATATTCTGAACTGATAACGATCGTCTTCGGTTATGACATCATTAATCTTTACATGAACACCTACTATTTAAGTTTTTTAACCACTTATTGTAAAGAATAAGAAAGAATAACCTCTTGTTCCTCAGTATCTAAATTAACGCTGATTTGCCCAAAAATATATAGTGGAGGTCAGGCAGCTGCATTTTTAAATAGTGAAAACGACAATTACTAAAGCATAAAAATTTGATTTGCAAGACACCGCTGAGCAACGTGCGGGATTCCCTTGAAATGAAGAATCAAGTGTGTAAGCCACTTTTAGCCATTTACGTTATGTTACTATAGTTCTAGCCACAAATCATGCGAGATATTAAAAGCACAAAAATGATGCCACATACTAACATAACACCGATTATGTAGAAACTCAAATTGTCAGCTTGGCCTGCGGCTAGGTAACGATATGGCCTTGCAGTTTCTTCAAGATAGGAAACTGCGGCATAAGCTCAAGCACAGCTATGATGAGCAGAATCAACAGACATAAAAGTGAAAATGTTTGCGCTTATATATGAATAACTGTAGTCATATATGTATGTGAGTGTGTGTACATCAATGTAAGTGGCGTAGCTACTACTCAGCCAGTTAAAGGCAAGAAAATTTGCTATCTCCTAACAAAGCAAATATTTTTATGCCCTCGGCATCATACACATTTGCCAACAAATTTTCACGCACACACACACAATCACATGTAGTGCACATGTTTGCGCAGAGGCATGCAGTTTGCACATTAGCATACATAAGTACATTCCCACACACATACACATACACATGCATATTATATTTGCCATTGAGAGAGGCGTAACTCACTGTGAAAATGTTTGTTTAGGCCATTGTTGCCACAAGTGCAGCATGCAACTTGCTATTACAAGCTCTTACAATGCTTAGTTGGCAACGACAGCCTTTCCTTGGCGTTGCTTGAAGGCATAGTTAGGAGGCAAAAGAATAGAATATGTATGTGTGTGTGAGAAAGGAAGCAATGTTGGGAAGTAAAATGCAGTAGAATATTTAGAAAGCACTTACAAAAGTAAGAATGCCATTTTTATGCATGGTTGCTGCAATCTTTGTTGCATTTAATAGGATTTTAATGATTTAGTAGACATGACTATAACAGGATGTGCGGCAAGTGATTTGCTAGCTTTGCTGTTGAATATCGCACAAAAGCATTCAAGGGCACTTAAAAATTTCAGATAAGTGATTATATTACGAATAATGGGTCAAAAGTGTACGAAATAAATTAAGTCAGTGTTAATGTTTAAATAGAGAGAATTTATGCCGGAAAAATTTGAAATTCGAAAACACAAGCTGGAAATAATTTATTTTGCTTTGGAAAATCATTCAATAAACAACAATATTAAAGAATATGGCCGCTCAGCTACGGATTCTGTAGGCTGCCATTCTGTGAGCGGACGGCCGAGAAGTATGTGTATAAAATTTATACACAGCTCCTACATCACTTTTGAGTTACCTGAGCTTCCAAAAATTTAAAAACTAATTTGAAAAAATTTAATTAGTGATTGTTATACCATAAATATGGTACATAAATTTCGCCATGAATTTATAAACCCAAAAGAAATGTCGGATCCCATATTAAGTATATATACGAGGTGTGTCCACGGAAAAAGGTGAATTTTGATTTTTCGCTGTGTCCACTCGTTTATCGAGAAGATGTTGATGACGATGCGCATCCTGAAGGTGCGACCACGTCAACAAGCTATCGAATTGCTAATAGGAAAGAGGATGTTGGCATGTTAATCGGCTCATGCCATTCAATTTTCTCTCGCAGCGAAGTTTGTTCCGAAACTGCTAAATTTTCAACAAAATCAATGCCGCATTAGTGTCGCTTTTTTGGCCAAAAACAAAACCATAATCAAGCCTCAACCACCGTATTGACCAGATTTGGCTTCCTGCGACTTTTTTTTATTCCCAAAACTGAAGACACAAATGAAGGGAAAGTGTTTTGCTACAATTGAGCGTGATGGTCTGAGTCGATTTAGCTATTGCCTTCTGTCTGTTTATATATTCACGAACTAGTCCCTCAGTTTTTGAGATATAGACCAGAGTTTTTGGCATACTTCCTTGAACCACTTTTGAATATACCTGCCATACAAACTAAGAGTTCAAAATCAAGTCCTTGTATGGACAACTTTTTTATTTAACAAGATGTCTAAATAAAATTTGGCATAGATTATTTTTTAAGTCTGTAACATACAGTTGTCAAACAAACTCACTGATTAAAATCACGTTACAGATCTTCATAAAAAATCATTTGAAGGTTGTTTATATCAATCTTCATGGGTAGAAAGAGTTGACAAACGATTTTCTAAGACAACGTGAGTTTTGATAATAAATATCAACAATCTTTCAATGATATTCCATATCAGAATAATCCGTCAAAGCATACGCATTTATTATCTTTGTCATTCTGTGTTTCACTTAACTTTATAAAACATTTCATAATTCTAAATGAACACCTTATATCAGTGCAACAGTGTTTTTCTTTTGCATTTGAAAGATGCTAATTTTCTATTAAAAAAATATACTTTGAAATTTTTAAAATCGAATGACATTGCAACAACATAATGCATGAGTCAAATCGAAACTTTACCTACCACACAAATAAAATCAAGAAAGCAACAGCGCTTGTTATTCCAGTCTCTAACATAAATCAGTCTTTGTATGAAATAACTCGATTACAGGTGCGTATGTATATATGTATATGAGTATTCTAAGCTTTATATAGAAGCATAAGCGCAAAAATTGTTCGTGACATAAAGAATATGTGAAGAAAATTTGCTTTGCAAAAGCTGACACAGAAGTTCCATGCACTTTTTTCTTTAGCTAATCTTACTTGCAAGCCAACCTACCACACGCACGTCCATACAGAACTTGTTATATACAAAGGTTGATTTACTTAGCTCACAAATATACAAAAAGAAACAGTTGGAATAGGGTACAGTGGCGGTTTTCTAAGAAAAAACAATGAAGAAGCTTTCTATCGGGATATTTAGTACTTTTAATCTACAGAAATATTTTTTAAACTAATAAAAGCTTGTTGCAGAAATAATTCAATCTTATAAGTAGAGCTAGAGAAAAACTGGTATTTCAGGTATTTTAAAAATAATAAACAAATTTAATATATTGGTTTATTTCGATAAAAAATAATACTAAGAATTTTTTTAAGGTTAAAAAGAGGATGCTGAACAGTAATATATATATTAAATTGAACTCAACAATAGACAACGCATGTAAAAATACAACGAATCAGCC